CCATGGGGCCCCATGGGGCCCCAGGGGGCCCCCCCTCTCTCCTCGGGCAGAAACACCAAACACGCCAGCTAACATATACTGCAGTATATACACCCTACAACTCCCACCCACATTCATACCCTTACCGCCCCCAGCAGGGGGCCCCCTGCAGGGGCCCCATGTAAGAGGCCCCATGCAGGGGCCCCCTGTAAGGGGCCCCCGTATAGGGGCCCTCTGTAGGAGGCCCCCATTGATGGCCCCCATCGGGGGCCCCCATTGGGGGCCCCCATTGGGGGCCGCCGAAGGACCCCCCTTGGTGCCCCCCACAGGGGCCCCCGTAGGGCCCCCCATATGGCCCCATTTAGGGGCCCCCTAGGGCCCCTCTGCGGGGATCTTCCCCTGGGCCCTCGCTTGGGGCCCCCTTTAGGGCCCCCGTGGGGCCCCCCGGTGCGGAGCCCCTTTGGGGCCCCCGTGGGGCCCCCCACTGCGGAACCCCTTTGGGGCCCCCTGGGGGCCCCTGGGGGCCCCCGTTGGGGGCCCCCTGGGGGCCCCTGGGGGCCCCCGTTGGGGGCCCCCTTGGGGCCCCATGCTGGGGCCCCTAGGGGTTGTTAAAGGGCCCCCAAGAGTCTCCGATAATCTCCGACGTCTGTAAACCCTTCATAAACCCTAAACCTTAAAAACCCTAAACCCTAAACCCTAAACCCTAAACCCTAAACCCTCCAAACCCTGACAATACCCGTTTTATGCTCGCCTCAACCCTTTTAAAAAGTTCCTGCATAAACCCTCTAAACCCTAAACCCTTAAGGGGCCCCCAAGCCATACGAAAAACCATGAGAGCGCCTGCAGCCAACAGGGGCCCCCCGTGGGGCCCCCTGGGGGCCCCCAAGAGGTGTGGAGGAGTGAAGGGTCTGCGGGGCCTCGAGGCGGCTGCGGGGCCCCCCCATACTCACAAACGCTGACAGCTGGACGACTCCAACAGCAGCTGCTGCAGCACTGATGGTTTGCTGCTGCAGTGCTGCTGCAGTGCTGCTGCAGTGCTGCTGGTTTGCTGCTGCAGTGCTGCTGCAGTGCTGCTGCAGTGCTGCTGCAGTGCTGCTGCAGTGCTGCTGCAGTGC